GACAATCTAGTAAGGCGGGCACAGAAGGGCGTCCAGGGGACACCACTCTGCACGCGAAATTAAAGTGTCCTAATAACGACTGAATCTGCCTAAGGGTAATCTTCTTAAGCCTAAGAGTGTCCTGAATTAATTCCCTAAGGGCTTCAATCTTTTCAACGGGAAGGCGTGACGACTGAGCCACGTATCTAATTCAATGCCTAGATAAGTGAGTCTCGTGGCGGGTCCCTCCGTTTTCTCGGCTGCAAGTGGAACCCCCAGGTCCTGCGCGAGGGCTGCGAAGGCCTTAAGTAAGGCTGCGCATTCCCCCGTGTCGGGGCGACCCACGAAAAGAAAATCATCCAGATAATGCGTGACCCCAGAGGAATTTGTCCTGAAGCGAAGGGCCCACTCCAAGAACGTGCTGAAGGCCTCAAAGGCCGAACAGGCCACTGCGCAGCCCATAGGCATGGCCCTGTCAACGTAATATTTTCCTTGAAATTTGAAACCCAGCAACCTAAAGTCGCTAGGGTGGACTGGGAGAAGGCGGAAGGCCGATTCGATATCGCACTTTGCCAACAGCGCCCCGCGTCCAAAACTACGGATTAGCTTAACTGCCTGGTCAAAGGAAGCGTACTTAACTGTGCATAGCTCAGGTGGGATGGCGTCGTTAACTGATCCGCCTTTCGGGTAAGAGAGGTTGTGAATGAGTCTAAATTCCCCGGGGGTTTTCTTGGGCACAATACCTAGTGGAGATATGTGCAGGTTTGGAATGGGAGGGCTGTCAAACAGGCCTGCCACCCTGCCTGCGCTAACCTCCTTGGCTATCTTACGTTCGGCGACTTCCGGCCTTTCCCTAACTGATTTTTGGTTTGGTGAATCTTTCGCAATCAAAGAACCTGCAATAGGAATTCGGAACCCGCTGGAAAACCCTTCTCGTAGATAGGATGCAGCATTTTTATCTGGGTAAAAGGCCAAAAGGTTACATAGGGGGGTGAGCTTGATAGGGGAGAAGGCCAATTCCAGATTCACCTCATCTCCTGTTCCCAGCTGCGGGGGCTCCCCTGGGACTGGGATGATGGAACCCCCGGCCACCACGAAAGGGCTGCTTCCCCCCCTTAAAGCAAGATGTAGCGGGGTGAGCCCCACCGCATCTCTCACATTCATGCGGGTATCTACAAGATGGCCTTTGGCATGACCCTTTATTATACTCCCAACATACGCGACGCCTGTACTCCTTTCTCTGCTCATTCCTGGCCGACCGATATGGGTCAACTGATTTCTTCTCCACGTATGGGCCAACCGCCACTGACCAGATGCCGCTCTCAATCTGATCCCAGCGTGCCAACGGGATCCTGGAAGCTTTTCTCCGAAATTTCTTGTCATAACTTATGGCTGCAGCCTCACCGGCCAGGGCGCAGGCCGTGCGAATATGTGAAAGATAAGCGACAAGGTGAACGGCCCTCTTGGGGTAGGCAGCAACAATAGTCCCCATAAAGGCCTGGAAACCATCGAGCCAGTTTTCGAATGTCCTAGGCACGGAAGGATACCTGCTCCTTTTCTTACCATGGGAAGGCCTCTTTTCCCCCCTACCCAACTCCTCAGCCGGGGGCACTAACTTAAACATGTCAACAAACTCTCCATTTAAGATTTTAGCCCGTAGCTTGGGGGATAGATGATCACCTGGTATAACATCTGAAGTTGAGTAGGTGGATATGGAGGCGTCTTTTACCAGAGCCCCATCCTTCCACTCTTGGGTCCCCCCGAACCTTTTCCGGTGGCTATTGGCCCTCCTTGAAAGAGCCCAGTCAGGGAGACCAGACACTTCCTCGCCCTTCCCCCAGTAAGACCCCAGGGACGCGTCGCTATCGTAGTCAGAAGAAGAAGTACCTGTATCATCGTCTGTGTCGTCCTTTCTTGACTTGCTTTTTCTACAAATATGCTTTTTCTTCTCGCGCCTCTTACCCGAGGGTTTCTCCCCCGATGCCGCAGTGGTGGTGTCCTCCACTTCCCGTGGCTCGTCTTCCTCGCCTGCTGAGGACCCTGAATCCGGCGACTGCACCCTGGGCCGCTTGTCCTGCGTGCGGGTAGAAGAGCTGGGAGCAGCAAGATCGTTATTACGAGCAGACTTAGAGCGCGCTTCCCCCCCCCCGAGCGCGAGGCGCAGAAGCCATGGCTTGCGACTGGGACCTGGTCCAAACCGGACCAGGGCTGGAATTAACAGCCGCCCCAGCTCCCTGAGCATCATCAAACAGGGCGGCGGACGTACAAGGTAATTCGTCCCACCGGGCAGATCTTGAACCCCAGGAATCACCTGTGTCTCGGGGATAACATCGGGCGAAGAGGGGGGGCTAGGGTTCGCATCGGGGTAGCGTTGTTCATATTCGTCAATAAATGATCTAAAAGCGTTAAGAAAGTGGGAAACGGGCTTTGCTTTATTGCCCTTCCCTGCTGACCCCTGGATGTGCTCCCCTCCGCGTTGCGTGCTGCTTCGGACGCGTGTTTTCTCTTAGGAGCCATG